TCACAAGGGACAGAGGTAGGGTCATACGCTTTGCACACGTGAATCTAATGAGTTTCCTATTAGTCCATTTAATAGACAAACCAACAAGTTAACATTATACTCAATTTAAAGTTACTATAAATAAAAATTCTTCAATACGAACGTCAAGGCAGTTCTGCTGTATGGAGCTGAAACTTGGAGAACTACAACAACCACAATCAAGAAAGTACAAGTATTTATAAATAGCTGTCTTCGCAAGATACTCAACATCCATTGGCCGGATACCATCAGCAACAGCCTTCTGTGGGAGAGAACAAACCAACTTCCAGCTGAAGAAGAAATTAGGAAAAGACGATGGAAATGGATAGGACATACATTACGCAAATCGTCAAACTGCATCACGAGGCAAGCCCTAACTTGGAATCCTGAAGGGAAGCGTAAAAGAGGAAGGCCAAAGAACACATTGCGTCGGATAATAGAAGCAGATATGAAAACGATGAATTACAACTGGACGGAGCTAGAAAGGATTGCCCAGGACAGGGTTGGATGGAGAACGCTGGTGAGCGGCCTATGCTCCTTCACGAGGAGTAACAGGCGTAAGTAAAGTAAAGTAATAAATAAAAATTGATATGTGCTAATGTTTACAATTTAGTTTAGTGTTACTTACTACTTAATTCAAGTTTGTTATCAACCTTGCACACCTCTGGTTAAATAGTTAAGTATTATTAAAACAAATCATTGAAATGAAGTAAAATAATGATGAATTCATGATCTTGTTAATAACCTAAAGATTTATTAAGATTGTGTTCTTTTTAGTAAGTTGTATATCACTCATGTTCTAGTCATAATTTACAAAATAGATTGGTAAAAGGGTAAATGTGTACCATCCTCGATTGTTTTTTTCGTTATTTACGTTATACTCACCGTAGCTAACATGGTTTCTAACAGTGTTAACGAAGAAAAGGTAATTTTTAAAAAGAGCAAATAATTATTTGGTACGACTATTCACTAAGCTAATAATTCACATATCTGATTTTCATGCTGATAAACGAGACTGTTTTCATGTTTACTAACTAGAGAAAAAAGCCCAAGCTTGTCTAGAAGCTTTATTCATGTTATAGTAGTTCCAATTATATACTCATTACACTCATTTATCATTTGCTAAAGAATTCGTTATACATGATAAATATCTCTTGGACGAAACATCACAATGAGTTAATTAATACCGATGAAAGTACAATGAAAGTTAACTGATGGAAAATCAACTTAAATCAGTATTTGAAATTTAAGACTAATTTCTCTTACATATATTTTGCCTGGAGCTTTCACATCTCTGACGTTAATGTTCACATTCTCTATTTCCCGATTTGTTGACAATGACTTTAGATCTCATTACAAGCTCAGTAGATTATGAAATCGTTTAAGAGCAGATCAAAGTTCTATGCGGTTGGTTTTATTGCATCTCAAGAACGCGTTTTTGTCATTATTGATATTCACATGTTGATTACCCATTCATTTAAAAATGTCATTACCCTACCATAACTTCTTTTATCTTCATTATCACTATAGTAACTATAACATCTGTTCTGCTGTGCATTACTACTTTCTTACACATATATACATCATGTAAAACGTTGAAGCACTGGACGGCCACCTCGTCCTATTGCGGGGCTCCTCAACAGTGCGCATCCGCGATCCCGCTTAGCAGGATTCAAACCAAAGACTTATCGACCTTGTGCGCGAACGCTTAACCTCTAGACCATTGGGCCAACCGGCATCCAACGGTGTTAATGTCTACCTTCAACTAATCCACGAAATTGAGCGACACATGCACCATTTTCTTCAGTGAGTTACTATCTCACGACAGACCCAGTTTGACTCCACTGGTTGCTGTTTCTCATTAGAACTCTTGGGTTTGAATCTCACGAGGTGAGATCGTGGATGCCCACTTTTGAGGAGTTCCACAATAGGACAAAACGGCCGTCCAGTGCTTCCAGACTTTCCATGGTGGTCTAGCTTCAATTAACTCAAGATCTGAACTATGAAAATTACTATAATATCCACAAAACATCTTCTGATACTAATATAAATACAAATAAATCTTAATTAGGTTTATTCATACACTTTATATCCTATTCCCCTCATTACTTTTGTTATTATTAATATTATCTTAATTATGTTCCGAACATTTATTTAAAATTCACAAATGAAAGTAAATCAAAACATTTGTTAATAATTATATTACTAATTGTAAATTTACGTTGTATGCATTTGATAAGAAACCATGGAATAGAATTCATTTTATTCTGCAAATCTTGTTGTTCTTAGTTTGTTTGAAAGCATCTTTATACAACAAAAAGATCTTGATGAAAATCTAGATAAATGGAATACACCCATTCAGACATTAAATAAGAAAGATTAATTCAGCGAAGAGTTCTCTTTTCAGCGAACTCATTTTCAAAGCTGTACAATTACAAATACACATATACTTATTTTAAAGGAAGATAATCTAGATAAATCATCAGTTTAATGGAATAATATATTGATATCAGATGGAAGTTTACAGCAAACACAAATAGTGGGATACAATTACATACAATTGATGAAATCTAAAATAACATGACACGTCATTTTTTCTTAGATTTCATTTTCAGTTACAATGTAAAATTATGATCAAATCTATGTAGTAATTGACCGATAATTCCCAATTTAAACATAAAAAATAAAATACGAAGTTTAGCGAAGGGAATTTATTACACCTCTATGATTTTTAATTATTGTAACAAAAACATTTTACTGACTGAAATCATGAGTCAGTTGAAGCTAGACCACCATGAAAAACCTGGGAGCACTGAACAGACGTTTCATCCTAGTATGGCATTCCTCAGCTGTGCGCATCCGCGATCCCGCGCCCCGCGGGATTCGAACCCAGGATCTATCAGCCTCGCGCCAGGCACGTAACCAACTAGATCACTGAGCCGGCATCCAACGGTGTTAAGCCGCTACCAGTGGAGTTCAACCAGGTCTGTTGTGAGGTATCAACTCACTGAAGACAATGGTGTACGGTGGCGCAACTTTGTGGATTGGTTGAAGTTAGACATCAATACCGTTGGATACCGGCTCAGTGGTCTAGAGGTTAAGCCTTTGCGCGCAAGACCGAAGGTTCTCGTTTCGAGTCCCGAGAGCGGGATCGTGGATATGCACTGCTGAGGAGTCCAGTGCTAGAACGAAACGGTTGTCCAGTGCTTCCAGGTTTCCCATGATTGTTTTGCTTTAATCAACCTATGAATTCAACAACTAAATTACTACAATCTCCACAAAATCCCCTTTCTGATACTTTGTGAAGTTTAAGAAAATGGATAACAAATTTACCTGTAAATGCTAATGACTAAAATTTTCCTCATTCTTGTATAGATACATGTACATATATCTTAGTAGATAGAATATAAACTGACGGATTACAAGTGATGTGAAAAGTTAATTAAGGAAAAGACGTATAATCCGTTATTATTATTTTTTATTCGATTACAATGACAAGTATGGGAATTAAGCCAAAACCTGAAAAAATAAACGTGTTAAGATAATAACAATAAAAACCAAGTAATAAGAAGCACGTGAGAAATCAAAAATAGAAGTTATTAGCTTAAGGTACCGAACGTGTTGAGAATAATCAATTTAAGATTATGCTTAATGAAGAAGAGTTGACTAGTGAGAGAATGAAAAATGATAGTAATAAAGGGTTTGAAGAAGTTATATTATAGTAAGTTGTATTTTCTCTGGCCGAAAAGATGAAACAAGCGTACTACAAAAAGTCTTTCGGAATGTTCACTTTTCAAAAGAAAAAAATGAAGTCCGATTCGTGTCGCGTATGAGACAGTTATCCACCTCAGACAATGGATGAAGGGTTGCGTAATTTCATGTATTGTTTGAAGTCAGACGTTAACACCGTTGGAGTCAGGCCCAGTGGTATAAAATTTAAGCCTTCGAAGGTCTTTGGTCCAGTAATTTCAAGTTTTCAATGATAGTCTGGCTTAGATTGACATGTGAATTCAATTGTTATTACTATTACAATATCCATAAGTCCTTTACTGAAAATACTTATTCGCTATATTTGCTTTTTATTAAATGTTTGGATAAGGATTTCCACTTTACTAAATGAGAATTATTCACATAAATCTATCTAAATAAAAGCCAAATTAAGTTATTCATATTCCAAAAAACTGGCTTCACGATTAGTACATTTTGATGGGAATAATGTTAGATACCGGAAAAAGCTAAGCACCAAAGCTAACAGGTTTTAGATCCAAATCAAGAGATATTATATCCAATTATAGAATAAGTTATAAGTTGATATAGTCTTGAATAAACTTAATTTCAAGTCAATGAATCTGTATTATCTAGTATTCATTCACTTCATATTTACACTTTTTTTATTAATTGATATCACGTTCATGAACATTTATGTCAGAGATAAAAAATTCAGTTTCAGTTTGGAAAGGACAGACGTGTATTAGTTCTAACAATGATGGTCTCTCTTAATTGTTCCAACTTTCTTTTGAAGGAGTCAACGGATGGATCCTCAACCACATACTGAGTTAATCAATTCCATTCGTTGATCATTCGATAACAAAGTCCATAGTCAACTAACAAGATAATAATTCATCATATGAATCCAATCTAAAACTTATCACTTTACTTCCATACTCATCATTCAATATTAAACAAAAAAACACAAACATTTTCAAGGCAAAAAAAATAAACAAACAAACATAATTTATCACCAATTTTAATCTTATTTTTAAATTACCAAGAATATTTTTCATAAACCTTAGAAATCATTGAATTAATTTATTAACCAATCAAATTAAAGTAATTTCACTGTTTTTCTTCCCCTAATAATTTGATTGGATAATTCATGTATATTGATTAATTTAACTACAAAATTGATTGGTCAATTCGACAACATATTTCTGACCAATAAAAAACGAAAATTTATTATTATTATTATTATTATTATTATTATTATTCATTGATGGTAGTAAAAAGTTTTATAATTAACACGGAAATTAGATTTTGTGTTTAAAGTTTTGGGAATTGGACATCATCTTTTGTTTTCTTTTTCTTTTTTTTTAATGTCAGAATATACAACTTCTATCAAATCACCATAATTTATGTAAATCAATTCATGTAATACACATATTACAAAAAATTAGAATGAATCATTCATATAATCATAATGATTTATTAACTATATCATCTATAACTATAAATAATGATAGTCGAATTGATTCAGAAACGCATACAATTACACAAATTTGTTTTTCATTAGCATTTTGTTCTACATTAATCCATTTAATATTTATATTATATTTTAAACGTATAAGAAAACTTTATGGTATCTGTATCATGATACATTGTTTATTTTATTCAATTTCATATTTAATGACATTAATTACATGTTCATTAAGTAAAAAAACTAATCTTATTCATATTATTTTTGGATATTTAGCCGATTATTGTATCTTGACAACTATAATAATGAATTTAAAATCATCATTAATGATTGTTTATTTATTATGGAATAGACGAGAAAATATGAATTGTTACCATGGCAACTATCAATTATGTAATTCTAGTAATGTATGTTTAAATCATATTAAAAAATTATTTTATATAATGGGACATATAATGGTTATCATTTTACCTATATTATGTATTGTAATTAGTATATTTTTATTTGAAACCAATAATTATATCAGTGAAGATCATAAAGAATTTGCTGTTATATCATGTAATTTAACACCAAATTATGGACATTTTTATATTTTCTTTCCAATATTATTTATATTATTATTATTACAATTTTCTTGTATTTTAATTATAATTAAATTACTTATTGGTCAACAACAAAATACTAATCATTATCATGATAATATTACAACATTATGGAAAACAACAAATATAAGTGCACGTTTTTGGATTACATTAAAATTTACAATTACACATAGTTTGGTATGGTTGATTGCATTTTTAGCATTAATACAAGCATCTATTTCTCTTTGGCATGTATTCACATTATTATATAGTTTACAAGCTATTTATATTACTGTAAATTGTACATTTACACGTCCTATATTAGATTTACTTTATCAATGGCGTGAAGAAAAAATGGATTATTATAAAAATGAACATCATCTATTATTGATTAATCATATATTAAATACCAATCAACAAAATGATACAAAACAAGATAGAATCAATAATATATTGATTAATTATTAAGCAAAATTCTATATAAACATTGTTTATTGGTGGCCTGTTTGAGCATCTGGGCTACCTGTTCCTCCCATGTAGATATTTCAACAAGTTATCTATTTTTGTTTGTTTTAATATATCATTATGTCTATTAATCACATAACATATCCTGGTGTATTTCTGAGAAGTGAACAACTTTTCATTGTCAAAATTACAAAAAGCCCAATAAGAGACAATGTGGTTGCTGGCAATATACAGCGAAAAGAATATACATTTACTGGACTGCTAACATCTAACTGGCGATCGCTCAATATTTATCGTCAGGATCGACCAAGAAGTAAGAAACGGAAATGTGTTGAAATACTTTGTGCTGAGAATTCTATATTGAACCAAAAATATAACAGTGAATAAAGCTTGTAATAATAATGATAATAATATATTTGTACATGTTAATATACAGTTGTATACATAAAATAATATTCATTATATCAATTCATATTAACAACTAGTGAAGATCCTGTATTTGTTTTCATTATCATTTGGCTCATGTTATATATGTATGAATTAATAGAAGTATTAAATTCCTTTTTACCTTAACTTTAAGTGATGATAAAACTTTACAACAAACTATTGAATGTAAAATGTATTTGTAAAATCTCAATGAAAGAAGTTGAAATCAATCCAACGTTTTACCTGGTAACATGATTGAAGCTTTTTCATTTGAAATATATCCTTGAAAAAGCACCAGGATATGGTAATTTTGTTTCAAACACTAGGATAATTCGAAATAATCAGGGTTTTTTTGGGGGGGGGGTATTTCCCTAAAGTATGCCTTATTAGATAATGATATTTTAAAGCTAATAATTTCTTAAACGAACTCAGTTTATATCAGATCTGTGATCAAGGAAATATATTCTTGAAAAAACTTGAACCAGATTGTTCCACCAAACGTTGGATTTACTTTAAATTCATTCGCTAAGATTTTACAAATACATTCTTCCTCATTTAATGTCTCATATTAACTCTGCGCCTAAATATTGTGAAACTATTCAATCAAATTTAAACAAAAGTTCATATTAAGTGTAGATTTAAACATTTTTTGTTTGATATTTTTATAATCATTTTGAATTGATGCGAAATTTAGGTATTATATACCTGTTAGGACTCGAGAAACATAATGAATGGTAACTTTCGGATCCATCTGTGGACCAATACTATACGTATATTTTTACCTTATAATTGTTAAATAACTAAACTATGCATTTTCATATTCCCCTTGTTATAAGCTTCATTTTGACCCATAAACTGTTATTATACGTGTCACCATTCTTGAGTTATACCCAGCATATTAATTACTACCTCCCTCATTCACAGCCACATCTGGCTAATTCTTTTACAAATGTTGTTTCATATTTAATTGGTACGTTGTGGTCTGTTTGATTGGTATATAAACTCAGTATGTTTGAAATATAATGATTCATATTGCAGAGACTGAGATTGGCGTTCTGAACTTAACTGGCTGGGCTATGCAGGAAGCAGGCTAAATCAGGACTCTAGACTGCTCGCACGTGTTTATGCGTCATTGATCCGATCGATAAGTCACTGCTGTTTAATCGGCGGTCTCAGGTCATAACAATACCTATTGAAAATTTCCTAATGAAGAACTAATTCTAAGTGATATTATTTATAAGATGAAAGAACCTCCACGATAACTGCAGCCAGTAATATCTTTGTGTATAAATAGAAAAATACAATTTTGTTTTCGGTATTATCGATTTAACCAATCATATGATTTTATACTGTCAGTTTTTAGATCTTCTCTGAATCACTTTGGCGTAGATCACTAACTGTGTTCTTTATAGGGATTTATTCTTTACTTTATAAAGTGATTTAATCAGTAATCATTAAGTCGCAAAACAATTATTCTTGAGAAAAGTCATAACATAAACTTGTAGACAAGTATGTGAGTAATTACATATATACGGCGGTTACCCCTTGTGTAGGAGTATAGACAACCCACCAGCATTCTCCATCTAACTCTCTCCTCGACAATAGTTTCTAGTTTTTTTTCTAGTTGCTATTCATTTTTTTCGTGTCTACTTCCAATTCTCGATACTGTGTTCTTTGGCCTTCCTCGTTTCCGTTTATATATATATATATATATATATATATATATATATATATATACATATACATATACATATATATATATACATATATATATATATACATATATATATATATAAACTATGAAATACTCATTTATGATCAGGTGGCTTAAAGTAGTTAGGAGGAAACCAGCAAACTAGACTTCATATTAATTGGCACTCTTCATCAAGGCTTACCTAGAATCTGAAAAGGACTAATTTTTCCTATGGCATTTGAATTCATAATAATTAGTTCTCGTGAACCTTGAAAGTAATTATTTCACTATACTATATTTATGAAGTCCATATAACATATTTTGAATGATTAAAAGATATTCAACGGAGCAGGTTTCATTTATCACAAATTATTTATAGTGACTCTATAGATTTATCTTTTGACAGCTGAGTGTTCAAAATGACAAAAGGAAGGCTAGATATTGTCAGACAAGATATGGAAAGTTTTCTGTACTTGCTGGTGTACAGCCTGTCAGTACTAGAATTTGAAAGTGTACATGAAAATAAAGGCATTTAGATGTGATTATCATTTGTCTAAAGAACATTTCAAATATAAATTAAAAGACTTTCTTTAAATATTGATCCATTTATTGACTTTTTTTAGACCGTATTGCCCTACTCAGAACCCCAAAACTTGTGATAGATAGATAATTAATTAAAGGGTAGAGGACATGATAATTTTATCTGAAACACTATGATGATTCGAAGGAATCGGTTTTTCTCCAGAATTTCCCTAAACTATGTCTCAAACGAACTCAGCTCATGTCAGATCTGTGACTAAAGAAACAATCAACTAATTGGTAATTTCACAGTTCATACCACGAACTGACCGTACCTAGGTGATCATTAAAAATGGTTGTTTCATTCTGGTATGAGACCCATCAATATTGTCCATCTACAACCTCATCAGGGATTTAACTCAAACATTCTCAGAGTTCTGGTGAGAAGCACTGAGCAATCAAGTTCAACCACATAGAGTGTGGGGCAGTTATCCACCAATGGTATTACAAAACGTTCACACAATGTTGCAATTGCCTGAAAACAAAAATGTAAATCATTTGATGTCAGCTCATTAATATGAAGACAAAATACTAACAGCGAGACATGAGGATCCTCAGTTCTGTCTCCACTAAAGTCATGGATACGCACTGCTATGTAGATGTATACAAGTAGAGACAGCTATTAAGCCATTCTTGGCCTAACCGAGGTCAAGCTTTGATGTAAAATGTGAATTTTAACAATTTCCACAAATCAACGACACAAATTATAGTTCGTTTTAACATCGTACACAGTCCAAGCACATATGTAATGGTTAAAATCCAAAAGTTTTATTAATAATAATATTAATAATATTACGACTTCAGTATGTTAAAACGTAACTCAATTAATTCAATGTAAGTTTACAAATTTATCTTTGTGGCATTTTATGTATATTAGCTAGTGATAGTACCTGACTGTTCTGAATTGATCAAAGCAGAACAAGACTGTCTTATGTTTATCCTATGATTTATGATTGTATTATTAGCGCTGCACAAATTCCTCACGAATAACACTTAAAATAAAACTAATAATGCCAATATGAATCTAAGAAGAACAACTAACATAAAATACAAAGAAGTTTATTATGATAGACAAATATCAGTAAATGGAATATTCTCAAACAATCCTAACGTACACAATCAAGTTGAAAAATTTCAAAAACGAAGAATATTTGAGAGAACAATTGTTTTCAATAACTTCATCATCAGGCTCTACAGTTATACGTCCATAACTATAATATTTTACAAAGGCCAAAAATAAGGCATGTATTAATGAATTTGACAATGTTACGTGTTAAAAATGGTGAAAGTTTGCATCTGTTATACTTCAAAAAATTGTAATATTTGCAAATTGGAATGGTCATTCAATAAAGATCAGTAAATTGTTCTCGACTAAACCAGTACTCACACAACTAATCAAGGATAAGTTACCGAAGATGGGCTCCTCCATGTGTGTATACCGACTCAATTATTCCTGTGGAGCTAGTTACATAGGCCGTACTCAGAGGGCTTTATCCTTGCGTGTTCGTGAACATGTACCAGCATAGTTGGGAAAAGGAGTCACCAAATCGATTAACAGCACCATTCTTTCTCACTTGGTAGATAGTGAACATCATATCAAAATAGAGGAAGCTTTCTCTTTTTTATATCAAGTTCCAAAATATTTACCCCAATGAGTTAGATTACGACTGCTTTACATAGCCGAAGCCATCTGGATCAACTCCAGAAGACGTAATTTATGCATCCAGAAAAAATATATCCAGCTTCTATGTTTACCCTGGCCTACGACTGGATCACCGAATACCTAGACTGAATATTATAAACCTATTACCCCCTTCCTTTATTTTTATTTATTTTCCTTATTATCATTATTTGTCATTATCTAAATCTTAATCTTCAACTCCATCTGGAGTCCCTCCGGGGGCTACCGCCGGTCCCAAGCCCGGATAAAGGAGGAGGGTTGGGCATGGGGTTAGCGACCCCATCCCGTAGAAAACTAACTTGCTAAAAAACGCTAACCAGAAAAAAATATTCAAACCTTTTAAACTCTGTCCGGGGAGTCAGAAGGTCTTCATTTAGAATAATTATGACGCCTCATGATGAAAGCCGAATTCCTTCGGAAGTTACGAGACCGATGCCCCTTCTGACAACCAGAGCAACCATTTATTTAGGTACATGGAATGTTCGTACAATGTGGGACACCGGGAGAGCCTTCCAAACCGTTGCATATCTTAATCTTCACATCCATCATTCCCAATTCGTTGATCGTAATTACCTTGATAACACCCCCCTTATTACATATTATATTCACACCAATCTTGTTATTATTATCTCAATTGATAAGATTAAATTCTCCTACTATGCATTTGATTCACACAATTTTTTTTT